TGCCTTCACTCTTTTTTTTAACATGTCACAAACTTTCCAAAATGATGATTCGTGAACACAAAAATACAAACGACATTTTTTTTTTTTTATTTATCAATTGAGCGTTGAACGAATTTGTCCCACAAAACAAAATGGAAAAAAGTTGGATTCTCACAAGGAGCTCCCTAAAACGTAATTATGTGCCAGACTAGATTGTGCATCACAATAATCACTAGCGGAATGTTCAGTGTTCATCCAAGCGTTTCAAAGCGTTGTTGACTATCTACCGTGTTGTTAGACTATGTAACCATTATTGACGAGGATTTCCAGTAATTCTGCGGGCTCCAGAAACTGAAGCTTCCTACAATTAAGTAAAGCTTATCTACTATAACCGATTAAAACTTAAAAGAAAAGGCTTGAATAAAATATTTCAGTTACTCAATCTTTTATTCTAACTTTCTTTTGATTTGTTACGGTATCCGTCAGACATCTTTTTAATTCTTTTTTTTTCTGTCGCTCTTTTCTACTGTAGATACTCTATCTATCTATCTATCTATCTATCTATCTATCTATCTATCTATCTATCTATCTATATCGGTATGTTCCTTTCTATTTTACTAGCTATCTCTGTTACTATCTCTCTCTCTCTCTCTCTCTCTCTCTCTCAATATCTATCTAGGTATATTCCTTTCTATCTTAGCTGTCTTATCTATCTTACTATCTATTCGTTTCTCTTTAATTTCTCCCTATATCTTTCTATCTATCTATCTATCTATCTATCTATCTAAGTGTATTAATTTCTAACTAGCTTAACTGTTTATCACAGTCTGTTTTTCCTATCTGTCAAGCGTCATTGTTAATTTTTATATCAGTGTGTGTGTGTGTGTGATCTGTCTATCTATCTATCCTTCTATCTATCTACTTCACTGCCTTCTCATTTTTTAAATCGAGGCAATTGATAATATTCTGGATCGTGCGGAGATAGATTGGTGTCCATTAAATGTTTTTGAGTGCGACAAAAGAATGCTCCTGTTCTCTTTACACTATATGAATTTCATCAAAATAGATGCATATGAAAAATGCTTATAAACTCTCCTGCCGATACAGATGTTAAATGTCATAATCCTCACACAAACACAAACAAGCACACACCTCTGTTTATCCACTTGAAAATATTTTTCCCCTCCATATTTCGTACTTGCCTTTTTTTCTTCCTAATATTTTTTAAGATCAAGAAAAAATGTCTTTGGTTCATTCCTTTTTACGGGTGTCTAGTGACTGAAGACAATAAATATTTTGTATTTTTCTTTTTCATTTTTTTTTTTTTTTGTTTGTTTGTTTTTTTTTGGTAATCTATAATTTAATTTAAAGCCAGTTTATTTTTGTAATTTAAAAATGATGTCGGACTTGTCGAACTAAAATAGCCACTCGAGTTGAACGATCGTTATCAGACGTCCGTGTTTCATTCTGTTTATAACTCGCGAAAGTGTTGCGTGTGTGCACACGTACATACACGTGTGTACCGACGGTGTTCGCCTTTCGTTCATGTCAAGATGTGTGGTATTTTTGTTTTGTTTTATTTTGTTTTGTTGTTTTTTTTCGTTTTTGTCCGATGTTTAGTGGATACACAGAGGTTACTACGCAGAAAATATGTCGTGTTTAAAAATGTTTGAAAATAAATAAGAATAAAAAAAAAAAAAGTGCACGGTTTCAAAGGTGCATATCAAATGTACACCTGCAGTTAGTGCTTCGTCATCGGCATTGATGTGGAACTTGTAGAAATAATGCCCATTGCTGGTTTTAACAACTTCTATGTGCTGTGTCCCTTCAGGACTTTGGCGATCATGGCTCTCCTCCAGGGCCGGTGCAACAGTCTCGTGTCTCCGACCCCGGAATCTATGATAGTACCCTCCACCCCCGAATCTATGATACGTGACTTCCCACTATACTATATCTCAAAAGGAAGGTAGTATTCAAATAAAATACAAATTTTATTGTAACCTAAATTAATTATGTACAATAATGGATCTTATGCAATATAGGTGAACAATTCAACTAGAAAAATTGAAAATAAATACAATGTATAGAAATTAGACATGTGATCATTTCATCTTAAATAAATCAACGTTTGCGGCAATTTAAGATTTTTCTTGTTAAAAAGTTGAAGAATTTTAACACGTTCAACATTATGGATAAAAAATAGCGAATTTTATGTTGTTTTTTTTTTGTTTTTTTTTTTTCGGGACTTAGCATGAGCAAAACAAATTTACGGATTTTGACAAAAAAAAAATGATCTCAGAATGACGTCAAAATTCGCGTAAATTTTTCATCATTTAATAATAGTTGTGCTTTATTTGTGATATATATAAATATAGGTAGAAAAAAGCGGTCACAAAGCACTACCAGGGGCCACCCATCAGGAAAGTCAGGGGTTCAGTATAGTACGCACCGGCTCTGCTCTCCACAATTTCCTGTCCTTTGCAGCCTTATATTTTTTGTTATCTCTTCTAAACTTTGTTCCGCCCTCAATTTACACAAGCTCGCTAGGTAGGTTATGTGCTGTTTTCCTCTGTCCCTCTTGCTTTCACTCTCTCCTGTCAGTGTCAAATTTTCTAAGCCTTCTTTCCTCATTATGCGCCCTAGAAATTTAAATTGTCTCTTCCTGATTTTAAGTATAAGTGTCTTTTTATTTCCATTTTTCTCTAAAACTTCATCGTTGCTCACATGCCCGCTATATGATATTCTCAGCATCCTTCTGTCGAACGATATTTTTTTTTTTTTGCTTCAAGTCTCTTTTTCATCTGTGAGGAGATTGTCCAGCATTTGCTGCCATATAGGGAAACTGATATTACATATGAGTTCAATGCTCTTTTCTTTTGTTTCTAACGAAAATTTTCTGTTGCTTAATACTTTGCTTAGCTTTTAGAAGGCAACTTTACTTCTACCGTTTACTTATATTGAGAAAAATATATTTTCCTTTGGCACAACAATATCGTATTACCTCATATTTCTCTGATTTCTATGTTATCAGTTTTGTGCATTAACAGTTAATGAAAAAAAAAAATTGAAGTTTACACAACTCAAGAAATTAACATTCTTTTACAGTGCCTCATATTACAAGTAGAACTGATACAACAGGAATCTTTTTAAAAGCCACCAATGTTGCCCAAAGCATTTAATAAGGATTTTGTCATATAAACCACAGTCGCTGCTGGTGTAAAAAAAAAAGTCTCAAGTTTATTTTCTTCTGTAGAACCACATTTCTGTTGCTTCAAGTCTCTTCTTCATCTATGAGAAGATTTTTCAACATTAATATAGGGGGGCTGATATTACATAAAAGTTCATTATTCTTTTCTTTGTTTCTAACGAAATGTATCTGTTGCTTAATATTTTGCTTAGGTTTTGGAAAGCATCTTTTCTGTTACCTTTTATTTATATTGAGAAAAATACCTTCACAGATCTTTTCCTTAATGTGCAACTTGTTAAACCTGTGGCCACAACCACACAATGCTAGTCATTGCTGTAATTGTTTCCCTGGCAAATACTTTTTTTTTTTAACGGGATGGAATTGTTAGCTTCTCAGACCCAACCCAAATTTTAATTTTCTAGGATTTTTTTTTTTTTTTACAGTTCAACCTGTAAAAGGCCCAAGAAACCCTCAAGACAGAGGGTTACAAAGTAAACGGTAGAAGTTTATAGGAATATGTGGGGAAGATAACGATTAACTCTAAACTTGAACAGGTTAAGATTGTAGTGATCGAGGAAGCACCCTCTTGGGAGTCGGTTCCGTAAAGCAGCGATTCGTGTGAAGAAGCTGCTCAAGTGGAATTTAGATCTCACCAATGGAATACGAAGGGAATGGGGGTGGTTCGCCACAATGGGCGTGGCATGGTGGGTCTTAGCTGTGAAGGTAAGAACTGGTGAAAATAAATGTAATTCGTTTGAACACATGAAAATAGCGATAGATTAATGAGAGGCTTGCCACGTTTCGTTTGTGGGAAGAGGATAAGGTGGAAATCAATTCATCACCCACAAGGATGCGGAGACTGGAAAGTAAGGAATGTCCTGTTATCGAGACTGGAAAGTAAGGAATGGCCTGTTCTTGTTCATAGTTCTCTACCTCCGGTCTGATCTGGCTCTTGTAAAAGTAGAATATAACAAGAGGAGGCAGTTACTTACCGGCCATTTTTCTTTAACGATGAATTATATGTACGAGATCAGGTTGAAGTTCCAATAACCGCTCAAGGCACAGGATCTCCCTGAGAGTACTCCTGTTTATCGCGATAATCGAAAATTCAGTGTCCGCTCGGTGATAATGGAACGTAATTTGTTTTTCGAGGCACGGAATGTTACCAGTCAATTTTTTCCCGCCACTGAACTGTCAGAGCTCGGTCAGAGGAGAGATCAGCTGCCAGACTCTGGTCACCTAGTGTTTTGGAAAAGTACCCATATATCGTTGCATAATCAGCATAGATAACCATAATAGATCGGAGTATACGCTTAGGCAGACCATTCATGTAAAGTTTAAAGAGGAGTGAAGCTAGTCTTGAAGAAGACGCCTGGGTTGATCTCGTTGGCCTTGGTGGACTGACTGTTCAGAGATTGGTTACCAACCAAAGTCAGAGAGCTCAATCTGCAGTGCTATTTAACCCTGGCTGTTACCAGAGGAGATTGATTCATATTTTGCCAAGAATAATTACGCGAAATCAACCCAGGTCGGAATTTGAATTCGACACTAATTCCACTTCCTCCCAGATTAGCAACTACGATATCCTTATTATATGCATTAAATTCAAAACGCATTGTATATCTTTATAAGCTACTTCAAGTGTTAAAGAGTTGTTTATTTGTCCACGGGTGATTACTGTCGATGTTCAATCCCAGGTAAAAGCTCGAATCTTAAATGCTCTCTATACAGAAGACTGGTGAGAGTAAAGCTCTGAACATCTTTTTGCTCTTTTCTAAACTAAGCTGAACAAGTACCACGATTTGTAACACTTGACAAGGTGTCCCTTTTCTAGTTAATGCCCCAGTGTTGGTACCTTGCGCCAGACTAGCGATGTGAGTGTGACTGTTGCCAATTTGTCACCGACGCTTGTAGGAATTTTTGAATGCTGATTTATTGGAAGATTGATGCAACGTAATTGTCCTATACTAACAACAGTACATTCATTCATAACTAAAAGGTACGATAGATAGATAGATAGATAGATAGATAAAAGATAGATAGATAGATAGATAAAAGATAGATAGATAGATAAAAGATAGAGAGATAGATAGATAGATAAAGGATAGATAGATAGATAAAGGATAGAGAGATAGATAATAGATAGATAGATAAAGGATAGAGAGAGAGAGAGAGATAGATAGATAAAAGATAGATAGATAAAGGATAGAGAGATAGATAGATAGATAAAGGAGAGAGAGAGAGAGATAGATAGATAATAGATAGATAGATAAAGGATAGAGAGATAGATAGATAGATAGATAAAAGATAAATAGATAGATAGATAGATAAAAGATAGATAGATAGATAGATAAAGGATAGATAGATAAAAGATAGATAGATAGATAAAGGATAGATAGAGAGATAGATATATAGATAAAAGATAGATAGATAGATAAAGGATAGATAGATAAAAGATAGATAGATAGATAAAGGATAAATAGAGAGATAGATATATAGATAAAAGATAGATAGATAAAGGATAGAGAGATAAAGGATAGATAGATAGATAGATAGATAGATAAAGGATAGATAGAAAGATAGATAAAAGATAGATAGATAATAGATAGATAAAGAATAGATAAATAAAGGATAGATAATAGATAAAGGATAGATAGAAAAAAGATAAAGGATAGTTTAAGAATCGATAGATAGATAGATAAAAGATAGATAACGAATAGATAGATAAAGAAAAGATAAAGAACTGATAGATAAGGATAGATATATAGATAAGAACAGATAAATCGATAAAAATATTGAGATAGATAACATTGAGATAAAATTGAGAGATAAGAACATGTAGATAGATGAATATAGAATGATCTGAATAGATAGATTTGTTCATCATGCTTTTAGTTTTTTTCTAGAATCAGGTCCGTTTTAATAGATCTCTCCAAAAACTGATTCTACCTCACATATATCGATAAGGTCTCGAACATATTCTCCAAAAACATTCATATAAAAATCTTCTGGTTTGCGTAATGGTTATCAATGTGTGAAATGGAATAAACGTGCTGAGTTTAAATTCTGACCGGGTCTGCTACGTTCACAAAAAGCATGGATCATCTTTTTCGTGTTATGGATTAAATAATAAGTCAAACTGTTACCTCTGGCTTTGGTTGAGTGTCAGTCTAAGAGAAATTCTGAATTGAAACTGGTGTTGTAAATCATGAAAAGGCCATTCTTTGTCTTGATGTTTGATCAGCCCATTTATTGCAACCGAGCCTCACCTTGCCTCTGGATTGTGGTGAGATGTCGAATAGCGTGGGTTTCTTCTTCCTTGTGACGTACCCCTTTAGGACGTGGGCCATTATGGCTCTACACAACTTCCTATTCTCACATCCCCTTTCCACTATCCATTCACACAAGCCCGTCAGGTCATTGTCCCACTGGCCATCCTCCGTCACTTTTGCATCCTGTGGGTGTCAAATTCTCCGAGCCCTCCTTGCTTATTATGTGTCCAAGAAATTCCAACTTTTCTGATTCTGAGTAAAGCCGTTCTTTTTGGTTCTATGTCCCTTAACACTTCTTCGTTCCTTACGCGCTCCGTCTATAATATTCTCAGTATCCTTGTGCAGAAACACATTTCTGTTGTTTCCATTCATCTCTTCATCTGTGAGGAAATTTCCCAGCATTCATTGTCGTATAGGAGGGTTGGTATTACATAACAGTTCAGCACGTTTTTCTTTGTTTTTACCGAAATTTTTCCTGTTTCTTAATACTTTGCTTAGCTTTCGGAAAGCATCATTTGCTATTCTAATGCGCCTTCGATTTACGGTGTCACATTTTCCAACTTACGTTTGAACAATTCCCAAATATTTAAACTTACGTTACTCGCCTAAAAATTCGTTCACGAACACACTGTTCGATCTTGAACGAAAACATAATCCTTTCATTGATATAGTGTTTGTCTGTTTGTCACCAGTTGGAAAGCAAATGTCAGATAAGATTAATAAACAACCATCTTACACAATGTGTGTGTGTGTGTGTATATATATATATATATATATATATATATATATATATATGTCCTATGCATAGTTTTCGCGCGTAAAAAAAAAGACGATCAAGCTAAGCAGCTGTATCTAAATGAAAGCTACTGTCTAAAGCCTTTCTAAATATAATAAGTGTTGGATACATGCATTGCATGTAGTGCACTCAATTAGGGGCTCTGGACGAGCAAGAACGGTTTCAGATTTAATGAAACATTGTTGTTGCTCGATAATGAGAAAAAAGGGGACATGTTTTTAATTAAATGACTGAAAATATGTCGAATGAAATGTCGAAACGAATAAGTGAACATCACAAACAATCCTCGTGCGAATCCCTGACAAATGTAATATATATCTCCAAGGCAAAAAAATAAAAAAATAAACAAACAGGATTCTGCTTATGAGGTGAATGTAAAGTTCCAGCACTTTCTTCAAAACCACATTAAATGCTGAAAACTTTTGAACATATACTGAGATAGATAGATAGATATGAATAGACTGAGATAGATAGATAGATAGATATGAATAGACTGAGATAGATAGATAGATATGAATAGACTGAGATAGATAGATAGATATGAATAGACTGAGATAGATAGATAGATATGAATAGACTGAGATAGATAGATAGATATGAATAGACTGAGATAGATAGATAGATATGAATAGACTGAGATAGATAGATAGATATGAATAGACTGTGATAGATAGATAGATATGAATAGACTGAGATAGATAGATAGATAGATGAGATGAATAGATATGAATAGGATGAGATAGATAGATAGATAGAATATGAGATAGACTGAGATAGACTGAGATAGATAGATAGATAGATATGAATAGACTGAGAGATAGATAGATAGATGAATAGACTGAGATAGATAGATGAATAGACTGGAGATAGATAGATATGAATAGACTGAGATAGATAGATATGAATAGACTGAGATAGATAGATATGAATAGACTGAGATAGATAGATAGATATGAATAGACTGAGATAGATAGATAGATATGAATAGACTGAGATAGATAGATAGATATGAATAGACTGAGATAGATAGATAGATATGAATAGACTGAGATAGATAGATAGATATGAATAGACTGAGATAGATAGATAGATATGAATAGACTGAGATAGATAGATAGATATGAATAGACTGAGACAGATAGATAGATATGAATAGACCGAGACAGATAGATAGATATGAATAGACCGAGACAGATAGATAGATAGATGTGAGACAGATAGATAGAGATAGAGATAGATAGATAGATGAGATAGACTGAGACAGATAGATGAATAGATGAGACAGATAGATAGATAGATAGAATGAATAGACTGAGACAGATAGATAGATAGATAGACCGAGACAGATAGATAGATAGATAGATATGAATAGACCTGATAGATAGATAGATAGATATGAATAGATGATAGATAGATAGATAGATATGAATAGACTGAGACAGATAGATAGATAGATATGAATAGACCGAGACAGATAGATAGATAGATAGATATGAATAGACCGAGACAGATAGATAGATAGATAGATATGAATAGACCGAGACAGATAGATAGATAAGAATAGACCGAGAATAGATAGATAGATAGATAGATAGACCGAGACAGATAGATAGATAGATAGATATGAATAGACCGAGACAGATAGATAGATATGAATAGACCGAGACAGATAGATAGATAGATAGATAGAATAGATGAGATAGATAGATAGATAGATATGAATAGACCGGAGACAGATAGATAGATAGATATGAATAGACCGAGACAGATAGATAGATAGATAGATATGAATAGGGGAGACAGATAGATAGATAGATAGATAGACCGAGACAGATAGATAGAATAGATATGAATAGACCGAGACAGATAGATAGATATGAATAGACCGAGACAGATAGATAGATAGATAGATATGAATAGACCGAGACAGATAGATAGATAGATAGATATGAATAGACCGAGACAGATAGATAGATAGATAGATATGAATAGACCGAGACAGATAGATAGATAGATAGATAGATATGAATAGACCGAGACAGATAGATAGATAGATAGATAGATATGAATAGACCGAGACAGATAGATAGATAGATAGATAGATATGAATAGACTGAGATAGATAGATATGAATAGACCGAGACAGATAGATAGATAGATAGATAGATAGAATAGATGAATAGATAGATAGAAGATATAGATATGAATAGACTAAGATAGATAGATAGATAGATATGAATAGACTGAGAGATAGATAGATAGATAGATATGAATAGACCGAGACTAAGATAGATAGATATGAATATGACAATAGATAGATGAGATATAGATATGACCGAGACAGAATACAGATGATAGATAGAACAGATAGATAGATAGATATGAATACACTGAGATAGATAGATAGATAGATATGAATAGACCGAGACAGATAGATAGATAGATAGATATGAATAGACTGAGAGATAGATATGAATAGACTAAGATATAGATATGAATAGACTGAGATATAGATATGAATAGACTAAGATAGATAGATAGATATGAATAGACTGAGATATAGATATGAATACACTGAGATAGAACGATAGATATGAATACACTGAGATAGAACGATAGATATGAATACACTGAGATAGAACGATAGATATATATCAATAGACTTACATATGAACAGACTTAGATAGATAGATATGAATAGACTGCTATAAATATAGATATGAACAGACTGAGATAGATTAATACTTCCTTGACCTTCCGAAATTCGATTATGAGGTTGAAAAATGAAGAGAAAACCTGAAATTATTCAGACGTTCTTTAATTATTTTTTTTATTGTTTAACTAGTTAGATTCCACCGCCACTTCTTCCCCAACAGTTTCCTTTCTCGCACTTCTCACCTGTGGAACCCATTTCAATTTCTTGCTTCCCTACCATCTGAAATCTTCAAAAATTTCAATGCAACGTCAATCACCATCTACCGTCTTCTTAAAACCTTTTTTCCATTATTGTCCTTTTCCTCACTTCTCACTAAAATCTTATTCTCGTCCTCTCCCCCCGAGTCCTGGTGACATTATCGCCTTGCTTGGGGAGCAAAGAAAAAAAAAACAACACCGAAGCAATGACTATATTTGACAGATGGTTAAGTTGATTGCGCTTTCAACCAGATGCTGTCCTTCTAAATATGTCGACTTTAATCTAGCTTCGGGAGTTCGCGTCAGAAAAAAAAGCGACTCCGGCCGAAGACAGGCAAAAGTTCTTAAAAATAAACTGGACAAAACCTTGAACAAGACATTTGAAAATATTTGATTATATAAAACGACTTTTTTTTTCTTCCTACTATTTCGATAATTTAGACATTCAATTATCCGGAATTTTGAACTATCTGATCATATTTGTTCAAATCTTCTCTCAAGATGTCCGGAAAATCGAGGAATTAATATACAGGATGCTCCCAAAGTCTTGTCACGCACCATCAAAAAGTAATGAGAAAGACAAGTAATACAAAGCACATGGATTCAGTTTAGTCACTTTCATTGACGCTGTCACAGATCGAGAAGATCTGTATGAACATCATCATTCTCGTTACACAAACCGATGTGACGCCATGTTCGGTGTGATATTTTACGAAGCTCTGCTTTGTTGATTGTTGCAAAGGCTCTCCAACCGGCGTCCTTTAAATTATAGGCTTTCTGGTATCGTTCATGTGAAACTCCCTCCTTGATCATGATACCGCTCGGAGCGTTGAAGCAGAAAATTATATTATACAGGGATGACAAGACTTTTGGACCACCCTGTAAATAACTAGATGTTATAAACTAAAATTTAGTTATTTTTGTTAACATTTTTTCTGTCTTAATTTTAACATTACTTGCAGGAGTTTATATATATATATATATATATATATATATATAAAGCGGCCCTTTAAGTAAACACAATTTTATTTTCCTTCATCCCATCTCTCTCCCACACCTCTTCTCTTTCTTTTTCCCCCTACCCTCCTATCCTAACTTCTAATTGTCTATGGTGTGTGTATGTCACCACGAAATGTATCTTTATGCATTAGACATCCGTCGACTTTTCTTACTCTCCTCTTTTAATTTCCCCCACATCTCCTAAAATTCTCTCTGTTAAGGTTTCATCTCCTCCTCCTCATACTTACACTTTCTCTAAATTCTGTTTTGATTTCGGAGTTGTTTTTTCTGTTTTCATTTTGAATTTGTAGGTCTGATGATTTGGATCGTATTTACGATTCCAGTGGAATAAATTATGACCATGGAATATTAGTGTTTAGCCTTTTTTATTATATCCTTACTCTGTCCTAGACATTGAGTTCTACCTGGATTCTTCCTCTTGGAAAATTTTTTCTGAAAATATACATGTATGGGTATTTTTTATATATATTTTGCCTATGTATGTATATTTTCCACTAATATTATATATATATATATATATATATATAGTTTTCTCGTTTTCATAAACAATTCTCTTAAATTTTTTCTTGAAATTTGAAGAATTTAAAAGCCGTTCTATTAATTTGATGTCATTATACGAAGGGGCGTTTATCTTGCACAAATATATTATTTAGCGTAAAGCATTTTGGTACCACTCAAACAAGAAACCCTCGTCCAAAAACTTACAACAATTTATGTTGATACCATCGTTAACCTTTAAAACGGCCTATAATTTTACTACCTATAATACTAGCTTCATATAAAACTCAGTTTGTGGAAAGGCTCCCGAAAGGATGCTTTCTTGGTCACACCAATCTTCTTCAAGCCTAGAGTCAACCATTGCCTATTCTACACAATCTCTTAATTTGCACGTCTCACTTCCAGCTTTTAGACGCTTGCAACAGCCTTGTTCAGTATTTCTCTTTCTTGAGTGGCTCTTTGGCTTTGTATTTGGTGAAGAATAGTATTAAAAAATTACCTCACCTTTTCTTTTAAGTCCCGTTAGTTGATTATTTACGTGAAGGACCCAACTTCTAGCGCAAGTTCATTCAATTTAGCTCTACATTCATCACTAAATATTACTGTTGCGAAGTCAGTTTTCGTTTATTTCCTCTCCTAATATATACATTTCTCCTTGTGATTTTTTATGAAAGGAGGTAGTTTGGTCGCTTTCATGTCTGTAAGCAATGACATGGTCATCTGTAAAACGATGAGAACCAAAATGCGATGTACAGGTCGGGGACACTAAAATAAAGCATATGCGGAAGTTTAAATATCTGGGAAGTTCTTTGAGGGGGAACAGTTGATGCGACGCCGAGATTCGATGACGGATTGAGATGGCCAAGGAATCATTCCAAAATCTTAGAGTACTGCAAGACAGGACGATTTCTTTGGTGATAAAGAGTACTGAGCTGCTACCTGTCCTTCTATACGGCAGCGAATGTTGAACGGTCTCCTCAAAGATGAAGAAGAGGCAGCGGAGATGTGGTTCTGCAGAAGGATGCTAAGGATGTTATGGAGCGAGCGTGTGAGCAACGATGAGGTTTTGGAGAGAATGCAAACAAGGAGGAATCTTATACTTAACATAAGAGGCAGATGAAATTTCTGAGACATGTAATCAGAAAGAAGGGCCTGGAGAATCTGTTACTCACAGGTCGAATAGAAGGAAAAAGAGTCAAGAGAAAGCAACGCATGACATACCTGTCGGGCTTAAGCAAGTGGATGGCGGAACGTGGTCTTGAGAAGTTAGTAGAGGTATGAAACTTATTAAGAGCTACAAGGGATAGCGGAAGTGGAGAGCCATGATCGCCTACGTCCTGAAAGGACACGGCACATAAAAAGAAAAGTAGCAATGTTCTTAATATTCTACACTTTTCTCATTTTTATATATTTTCTTGTTAGGCTATTAATGTTGTAACCTAGGCAAGGTTACTGAATAGAATAATCACACGACGGATGGTAATGAACACGAACAACACATAAGATTCGCCAGCGGCGCGTAGAAGTAGTAGTCAACTGCTAGAAGTGAGTCAAGTGAATTCCACAATTAATCTCCAACTGCGGGATATCTACCAACCATCCCCACGCGGTCAAATTTAGCACAGGGCCGATTTAATGTGGTCAAAAATTCCCCATAGACCCCATATACAATGGGGACGGGTAGCTGTTTCCCGAGACTAGACTCTGCCCTTCGGCATTGCATCGTCTGTAGATCCTCTCAATCTAGAGGCACAGAGTTTGACAAGCACAGCTGGAGACGAATCTCCAACTACTGGATATCTACTAACCGCCCCACGCGGTCAGATGTGGTACAAGGCCGAACTTAATGTGGGGTATCCGTGCACGTAGGCTCGGCCAAAATTTCCCTAAAAACCCCGTATAAAACGGGCAGCTGTTTGCCGAGATAAAAATTCTGCTCTTCGACATAGCCTCGTCTAGGGATCCTCTCTGCCCAGAGGCAGAGAGTTTGACCAACACAGCTGGAGACGAATCTCCAACTGCAGGATATCTACTAAACGCCCCACACGGTCAGATGTGACACAAGGCCGAATTTAATGTGGTGTATCCGAGCCCGTAGCCTCGGCCAAAAATTCCTCGTAGACCCCGTATAATACGGGGTCGGGTAGCTGTTTCCCGAGAAGAGACTCTGCCCGTCGATAGCGGCTCGTCTGGGGATCCTCTCTGCCCAGAGGCAGAGAGTTCCACCAGCACAGTTGGAAACGAATCTCTAACTGCAGACCACCATACAGTATTTACTACTGTATTTAAGTGAAGTGGGATATACCCATTATCTTCCGTAGGTATGCTAGAACATCTATCCACTTTTTTTCTTATTAAACGCTCACATCTCTTTTTGTGACATTCTTAATGTCAGTTTTTTTTTACTTGTTTTTATCTTGCTAATATTTTCAAGTTCATTATTGCTTGTTGATCTCTGTTCAACTTATTCACAATTTCCAATTGCTCAATGATTTCACAATATCTTGTTCCTCTTTTGTGATTTCAACATTACTTGCATCAATTTTTATTAATTCCTTGAATATTATTTCTTATACAGATTTCTTTTAATGATCAACCACAGGTTTTCTATTGGATTAATATCTGGACAGGCTGGGGGCCCATTCCATTCATTTAGTGTCTTTGAAACAATAGTCAATTTTCTAACATATGAAGAGGCATTGTTTCGAGTTCTCTTTAACTTAAAGTTTCTACTTACGACTTGTACCTCTCAAAAATAACTTCTCGAAAAATAAGCGATAACTCTTGACATATCTCTTGATATCAGCATCAAGGTAGATATATATTTTTATTGATTACAATATAGGTTTAAAACATGTATCTTCCCCTTGTTGTTTTCTAAATCATGTTGGTTGACTATTTTCATGACTCAGGATATAGCCCAGCTTTCACGTCCATCCAATGTAGCTCTATCTTCCTCACAAAAAATTAAGTTGAGAAATCTCTTTGCCCATCTTAGATGTTTCTCTTAGTAAAGTTTACTTAAAAGGTGGTAGTTTATTTGATTTCATGTCTTTAGCCAATGTTCTTAATATCCTACATATTTTCCATTGAAATTCATAACCCTAGATTTTTCAAATCTGTTCTTGGTCAGTCTGATTATCTTGCTTATTGACCATTTCATTTTTCTCATAACCTTTTGGCGACATTCTTAAAACCATTTTTATTGTATATATTGTGCCAATGTTTTCAATTTTTTTTATTTAATCTTATACATTTCCAGCATTGTGTTCCCATCAACCAATAACTTTACAATGTTTTTTTTTTTCTTCTTTTGAGGATCTATCTTTATTTCTTGTGAGGCTTACGGTCATATCCTGTTGAAGCACAGATGCCCGTACGATCACCGAAGTTAAGGAAGTACCTAGATTGGTGACAGCTTGGAAATACCAGGTGCTGTAAGTTTGGATGTGCGTGTGGTGTAATGGATAATGGCTCGGAATTGTTAATCGGAGAGCCGAGTTCCAATTTCAGTTGGGTTCATTATAGTTATTTACGCGCAAATACCCTTGGTAAAAGGTATGGATCCTCGTCTTCTCCCTCCAGCTATGGGTTAATTAGTAACACTTGTATTAATAAATCCTTATGTCGAAAAAAAACTTAGAAACTAAAAATATTTTCTGGCTTTAAATAACCTGCAAAGGGTTGATAAGCAGTAGAAAATGAATCAGTCAATTAACGAAAAACAAAAGCAATCTTTGTATATCTGAAATTCCGAAATGAAATATCAATAACGGTACTATTTCTGTCTGAGTTTCATTGATGTGGAGTTATCATTTTTTAAATTATTTAGCAGCGGGCTATTATCTTCATTTTTCTTGTTGTTATCACAACGTTTCGGCCGTTGTTCTCTTCAGCTTGTAAATCCAGCTAACAATCAGGGAATTTCGAAATGAAACCCTTTATTTAATCTACGGGAGTAGATTGTTCTCGTTCTGCTATCCATGTCTCGGGATATCTCGTCTAGTTCTGCTTTAGTACTGCGTGGTTATTGCTTATCTTGTTTCCACTGAGTCTCAGTTTGTACTATTTATTTTTTTTTTTCAAATTAGTCATGTCACAACAGAATACGTATTTGAAAACCACTGGTACATGCCTATTTGTTTATCAGACTTGTATAGAGTGGGGTCATTTTCTGTACAAACTAACGATATGATCTGCCTTTAACCAGGTTTGAAAACAGCTTTTCCTTCTTGTTGGATATCTATTTATATGGCGCCTTTATAGGCATACATTTTTATGTAGCATTTATAGGTATACATTTTTATGTAGCCTTTATAGGCATACAGATTTAAGTAGCCTTTATAGGTATACACTTTTATGTAGCCTTTATACGCATACACTTTTATGTAGCCTTTATAGGTATACATTTTTATGTAGCCTTCATAGGCATACTGATTTAAGTAGCCATTATAGGCATACACTTTTATGTAGCTTTTATCAGCATACACTTTTATGTAGCCTTTATAAGTATACACATTTATGTAGCCTTTATACACATACACTTTTATATAGTACAGGTATACATTTTTATATAGCCTTCAAAGGCATATACATTTAAGTAGCCTTCATAAGCATACACTTTTATATAGTCTTTATAGGTATACACTTTGATGGTAACCTTAAAAGAATTTCAAACTGAACCTTTTGATTTATAGATGCGGATTATTCTCGTTCCGCTGTCAATGTCTCGGGATATTTCGTCCAGTTCTTATTTAACACTGATCAGTTATTGCTCGCCCCCTGAAGGTTACCCAAATCGACATACATCTGATGAAGGCTGGGAGACACAACGGCGAAAACGTTGTGATAACAACAAAGATGAGGACAATAGTCCGGTTGTAAATAGTGTAAATAGTCAGTTATGTGCCATGCGTAAAACACGCTTAGGCGATCATGTATCTTTCAATACATGACTGACGAAGCAGATTTTTTTTCCCGCGGTAAGTTGCCATTTCTTTCTATGGTAGACCAGTTGACATCCAAGGCTATAGAATCCAGTCTCTCCTGCTATTTACCCACAGCTAGCGAGAGAAGAGGAGGATTCATACTTTTCCCAAGGGTATTAGCCTGTAAGTGAATGTAATGGATTTGACTGGAATTCGAACCCGGCAGCCATACTTAATTATATTTGCGATAAGCTGAACAACCAATGAGGAGGATAATAAAATAAGTTAATGCAAATATTTATAGTAGAAAATGATTTTTAAACTGAAATTTTATATTTATCATATGTATGTATGTATGTATGTGTGTGTGTGTGTAATTAGACAGCAATCCTTCTTTTATGCACATTTCATTGAATATGACAGACAAGTTGCTTTGATTTAGTTTTTATACAATTTCTCATGCGGAAAAAAGAACATTCGGACAGTTTTTATATAATTTATCATCTGAAAAGAAAAACATTATTAAATCACATGAGAAATTGTATAAAAAATTAAATCATAGCACCTTGTCTGTCGTAATCAATGAAAAAAAAAAAAAATATATATATATATATACTCGACTGTCCCTTCAAATTCGACGTATGAGGGTCAAGCAGATCAGTTCGCAGGAAACCGACAGCAGCACGTGAGATTTGATTATAGTGGTGAAGGCTTCGTGCAGGACAATCCACCCTTTTTAAAGGGTCAGATACAGAGACCTGGTGCCACAAGGTCCCTAAACGACCCTATGGCACCTCGAGGCGGAGTACTGGTTAGCAAGCTTGTCTCGCTAGAACAATTACGACTGAGTAGTGAGTTCGATCCTCACTGCCCCATACTTTCGGCCTTGTGCCACATCTAAGCTACGCTTGGAAAATCAATATATATATATATATATATATATATATCAACATCAGATGATTTAATTCCGTTTTTATTGTAAAATACTTTCATAGTAAAATTTGATATAGTGTTTTACTACATGAAGTTTAGATGTGATGCAAATCGCAAGTATGGAGCACTGAACTTATTACTCTGTCTCGCTAGAACATTTACGTCAAGTCGAAATAGCAATTGACTATGTTCACAAGTAAGGAACCCAGTGGGGATTGAAATCACCACTCAGTCGTAATAGATCTAGCGAGATAATCTTGCGAACGATTTCACCACATCGAAATAGCGATTTACTAAGCATTAGCTTAGAAATTTCACAAGGCTGAAAGTATGGTGCACCAAGTAAGGATCGAACCCACTATTTAGTCGTTATTGGTCTAGCTAGATAAGCGTGTTTAACCATTACACCACGTTGAAGTGTGCAAATGTTTATATGTAAATCTCTAAAATGACCTTTTTAAAC